CGCGGCGCGGCTCGGGCAGCGGGGTTTGCTCCCCTGGGCGCCTGACAGACCTGCGCTTCCTGGGGGGTCTGCGCGGCGGCAGGGGCGCGCCGGGCCCAAGCCCCGTGCGGTTGGGGGCCGAGGGGGGATGACTCCGCGGGGAGGACCGCCACGCTGGCAGCGCTCAGCGGTTCCGTTTGTTCCCCCGCTCAGGATCGCCCCCGCGTTGCTGAGGCAGGCGTCTTATGGCACCATAAAGATTGGCATTTACCAGAGTTTGAAGCGGCTGTTTGTGGATCGGATGGAAGGTCAGTGTCGGTGAACGTGTCGGCACAGGCACCGCCCGTCCCGCCGGAGGCGCAGCGTGACATCTCGTGCTCTCTGTGCTGTGTGGTTTTGCTCGTTCCTTTCTCTGTCCTTCCCAGCTATGGATTCCCACAGAAACGGAGTTCTTGTTGCTTCACGCTGTGGTTTTGTTTGTACAGGGATAGCAAGGATAGGGTTCAGTACAGATGTGGATCTCGCTGTGCTTGGCGCTGCCCACAGCCCCCAGCCAAACACCTCCCCCTCCAGCCAGGTCTGTCCTTTCCCCAGCCTTTATCTCTGTTTTGCAACGTCAGAGCCAAAACCAAAAAGCTATCGCTGACCCAGGCCCATCTCTCCTGTCCGGTCAGCCTCAGGGAAGGCATCCCGTCCCGTCTGTACCTCAGATGCGGTACGTGGGTCGAAAGCTTCGGTAGCGAATCTCTCCTGTCTTCCTGCTGGGGCCTTTGAGTCCTTGTGCCTGAAGGCGGCACATCTGGAGAGAGCTTGTGCGGTCCGGCTCTGGAGCTTTGGCTCCGGCTGCAGAAGTGGGATAACGCAAATGCTCTTGACCTGTGCCCCTCTGGTAGCGAGGGCCTCTGCGGCTCCTGCCTAGAGAGCGGAGCAGCAGCAAAGTCTGGTCCGTGCTCGCTGAGGGAGCACCAAGATCTGCATGCGTGGTTTTAAACCCTGGTGCGACATGAGGAATATTGTAACGCCGTTCCGACCTGGGAAGGTGAGGTGGGCGGGCTGGGCCGGTCAGCAGGCCAGCGAGAGGACTGGGAAGTGCAGCGCGCTCGAGCTTCTTTCCAGGGGCTGCTCTGTTCTCCAGTAACACCCTCCCTGCGCGCGGTTCTGTGCGCGTACGCTGGGCCGCACGTCTCTCCTCGCTTGCTGTTGCAGCGTTTCCCGTCGTGAGTACCGTTGTCTGAATGTTTGTCTCCCTACAGGCCTGGGGCAGCCAGTGGCCTGGTCTCCTCTGGGAAGTGCAGTGGTCAGTACCAGCAAAGGGCTGTGCCTTTTCCCACCGTAACCATCACCCTAATACTGGGCCTGGAAGTCTTGGATTATTCCACCCGCCCCTCGGAACTAATTGCTTCTAACTTTCTCTGCCTGGGTCGCCTATTCTCTGTTTTCTCAAGGTGGCTGCACGTTCTGAGCGCGGCCAGCTGGGGCTCCAGATCAAACCAAATTGGTATCAGGTCGCCTTGAGAAGCGTTGGGTTGTCCCTCTCTGTCTTCCTCTGGCTTGGCTTGTCTCCATCATGAGAAATGCATCACTGGACACTGAAATCTCAGATAATTGTTCAAAATTGTCACGTATCGCGGTCTTTTCCTTGTCTGATCAGCTAGACTCGTCAGTAAGACCCGCTTCTCTCTGAGCGCGCCTTGCTGAGTGGTTCAGCGGCTGCTCTCTGGCAGGCGTGGGGACAGATCTGCCACGAGCTGCTGGTGGCTGGCCAGCCTCTGCTCGGGCAGCTTCACCTTGTGATTTGTAAACTGAGCTTCTCTGCTCTCCCCAGAGCTTTTTGCTTGTTCAGTACAATCTGTGCACCTTCTCTTTCGATCTTTAGGACCTGACTTTCTTTTCTTGATTGCAGATGAAACGTTGCTAATCAATGTAATCTGCGGAGTGGTGTCAGGGGTGATCTCCTCTGCAATTGCCAACCCGACAGATGTGCTGAAGGTAAGAGGTGGACCTGGCAGAGACAGCTCCTGCCTGGCTGCGGTTTGACACGTAGAAGCTGCTGCTTTCCTGTGAAGACGCCTCTCTCCCAGCTGCAGCGAGGTGCTCTCTGAGCCGCTGCTGGCACCAGTTCTGCTAATTTGGGGTTTTTTGGAATGGGAACAGAAGCCCAGAGCAATAAACAGATTTTTAAAAATGCAGCTCTGAAAGATCATGAAATGTGCTACGGCAAGGGGCAGAGGCTGTGTTATCTTACCTGGGTAAGGTGCCCGGGGTGGCAGCCAGCTATTCATCACACCCCTCGGCTCCTTTCCCTTTGGTCGCTGTGCTTTGCTGCCGCAAAGTCCTCCTGGTTACGTGGAGTGCCCAGAGCCCAGTGGGGACTGCCTGGTCCCCCCCCTCCCTGCTGCGGGGTTACTGGGGTCAGGGTAGCTCTGCTCTGGGCAAAGAGAGCCTGGGGAACTTTCCCACGCGTCTCCCTGTGTAGATCCACCTTCTCGGACCGCTTTCGGAGTGGGAGGGCCTTTCCCGTCACTTGTCTGTCTTGTCTGAGTTTTGCACTGCGCTTCTACCCTGTTGCTGTCCCCGCTCCTTGCCTGCCGTCATCGTTTGCCGCACGGTTTGCCGGGAGAGGGCACGTGGACGGCGGTCTCTGCTCTCGGTTGCTCTGTCGTTCTTTCTACCAGGAGCTCCGCTGAGCTGGTATCTGCCCTCCCGGGCAGGCGCTGGTGTCGTCCCGCTGACTCTCGCTTTCTTTCAGATTCGAATGCAGGCTCAAGGCAGTTTATTCCAGGGCGGCATGATTGGCAGCTTCATTGACATCTACCAGCAGGAGGGCACCCGAGGCCTCTGGAGGGTGAGCACCAGCTGCTGGAACCCCCCCAGCAGCAGAACTAACAGCTTCCTCAACTCGTTTGCTACACCCAGGTGCAGCTCTTGAAGAGAACTGTGAAGCAAGGGTGGTAGCAAAGTTCTGCTTCTGGTTACCGGACAAACAGAAGCACGTTGTGGTGGAGGCGGGGGTCTTAATACATGAAAATCTCCTAAATCGAAAACCGTAACAAAGCAGACTTTCTGCTGTTACGTAGCAAGGAGGACCTGGAGCCCCACCTGGCTCCTTAAACAGCTGCTCTTCCTCTGGTGCAGAATCTTTTCTGGTATTGAACTTGGCGGGTACTGCTCAGTGGGGGAAGACGAGTGGATTATAGCCTGATTCCTGTGTGCGAGTGGCTGGGAGGAGAGACGCAGCGTGTAGTTAATCTCGCTGGGGTAACGCTGCCGGGGTGGAGGAATCCTCCTTAGCTTTGGAGTGAAGTTGGGAGGCAGCGAGCCGGCCTGCCTGAAGAGCTACAGCTGCGAGATAGGCGGATACCAGGCAGATGGTCAGCAAAAGGGCCCTGAGAGGAAGCTGGGGGCGATGCCATCCTAGCTGCAGTCCCCAGGCAGCAGTTTGCGCTTCTGACTGATGTTTCTGCTCGGCAGGGTGTTGTCCCAACGGCTCAGAGAGCCGCCATCGTGGTCGGGGTGGAACTGCCGGTCTACGACATCACCAAGAAGCACTTAATTCTGTCAGGCCTGATGGGTGACACCATCTTTGCCCACTTCGTGTGAGTATTTGCTGCAGCTGCTGCACTCTCCAGGCTTGGCAGGGGTGTGTGAAGCTGAGGAGCAAGGTGGGATTTGGGGTGAGACCTGTTTATAGAGCAAGTGCTGTGGAGCTGCGGAGAGCAGGCTTGGTACTTCTGAGGGATCTGCTGTGTCGACTGGAGCAGCTCAGAATGACCAGCGAGTGTCCCCAGAGAGGCCTCCCTGCAGAGGGAGCCTGGCAGAAGTCCTTTGGTGATGTGAAATGGCAGCTTGATTTCAGCTTGCTGATGACCAGAAATGCCGTTGCTCTGCGTCTGTGCCCTGGCACGAACAAGGCAGGAGTTCCAGGGGCGCGCCTGCCTGTAGCGATCAGCTGAAAGAGCTGCTCCAGTCCTAGGTCCTCATCCCTCCAGACACCGTCAGCTTGCGGCCGTTGCTGTAAGAGCTTTGTGAGACGAACGGAGGCTTGCAAAGCTGACAAGACCCTGAGCAATCTGACCAAGCTTTGAAGTCAGCCTGCTCTGAGCAGGGGGTGGGTTAGAGACCTCCCAAAGTCTTTTTTCACCTACGTTTTCCTGTTCTTCTGGCAGACACTTTAGCTGGAGGTGCTGCAGTGCTTCTGTTGGGTTTGCCTGCTGTGGGCTGAAGGTGACAAGCACTAGACCATACGTGGAGGGAGGAGACTAGCAGCTGCATGCTCCCTCTTGCTGCCTTTGGTCCTCCTCCCTCCTTCCCCGCCCCGAAGAAATGTTTGCTCTGGTGAGAAGGATGTGCGCTTCCAAGAGGCTGCCTTCAGGTCTGTGTCACCTTGACAGCACAACGCTTGCAGGCTGGCCCTGTGCAGAGCCAGCAGTGGGCTCTGACGAGGGTCTTGATTAGACAAGGCTGAGCGTTTCCCGTCCCCGAGCTCTCTGGGGTCCGGAGGCGGTATGGGTTCTGCCTCTGCCCCTTTTCTGGGTGGGAACAGGTAGTGCAGCTGATGTTGATTGCTAAATGCCTTTCGTAAAATCCAGTAAGAGATACTCTTTTGTGCTTATGTCAAGGCCTGTCTGAGCCAGAACGGCCGTGTTCAGAGGTGTTCTCTCTCCTGTTTTGGTGTGTATGTAGTTCCAGTTTTACATGCGGGCTGGCCGGGGCCATTGCCTCCAACCCTGTGGACGTGGTGCGGACACGGATGATGAACCAGCGGGCGATAGTGGGCAGCACGGAGCTCTATAAGGGCACCCTGGATGGCCTTGTGAAGGTAGGGAGGTGAGGGCTGGGCAGATCCCTGTCTTTAGGAGGCTGGCCAGCTTCCAGCACCACACACCGTTGCCGGGAGCAGGTAGATTCTACAGCAAGGGAACGTGCTTGTCAGTGAGCGTTTTGGACAAACCAGAGGAGGGCCTCGAGTCACTGTCCTGAGGTCGCCATCAGCTCGAGCATCCTCCCAACCTTCTGGGACAAACCTTCGTCAGTGATGCAGTTTGATTAGGTTCACAGGCTGTAAGTGACACTTCACACAACTGAACTGCATCTCCCCTGGCTGTCTGCTTAAACAGCAGCTGTAAAGGTCCGTTATATCACACGTGGCATTAGGGAGGCGGGCAGAGCACGGACCTGGGGTGCTCATAATTGATCTGTCTCTTTTCTCCTCCCAGACGTGGAAGAGCGAGGGCTTCTTTGCGCTCTATAAAGGTTTCTGGCCCAACTGGCTCCGGCTCGGTCCCTGGAACATCATTGTATCCTTCAGCGTGCTGCTGGGAGGTCATGGGTGGGGAAAACCAGGCTGCGAGGGGAAGCGCCGAGCGCTTGATGGGCACCTCTTTGTCTTCCCTGCGGCAGCCCAAAGCAGGCTCCCTGTCCTGCTTGGGCAGACATAACCTGTGATGTGGCTGCTGCTGGTTCAAGCGCCAAAAAATGCCACTGGTTGTGACTGCGGCTTCTTACAGCTCGGTAGGTGGCCAGCGCAGGGCCTCCCAGTGCGGCAGCACGGGCGGTTTCCGGTGGCCTGAGTGCTCCAAGCGCTCGGCTTGGGACTTTCCCTTTGGCCCGACCTCCTGGAGGTGCTGCGGTTTCTGGATCGGCTCCTGTTTCGTGGGGGATGTTCTGCTGCGCTGGGGCGGGTGCTGACCTGCTCTGCAGGACCAGCGCTGCTGTGTTGCTGTACTAGATCCTTCTCGCCCTCTCAAATTGTGTGCATAATTGATTTTAAAGAAGTCCCGGTCTGGGGTTAGAGCCACCTCCCTTTCTCAATGGTCTACGCAAGACCGGGCCAGTTTGCTTCTGGGTCGGTCTCTTCCCTCTCCTGGCAGCGCGTGTCCCGCAGCTCTCTCCTGCCTGTGCAGATCAGTTCCTGCTGCCTGGAAAAGCGGCTTCCCGGTCTTGGTCTGCAGCGGCACTGTGCTGGTGCCCTACCTGCCTCGCCTTGCCGCGCGTGGCCTGGTCCCGGCGGGAGGCCGTGCAGCTGCCTGATGTATTTGGCCCAATTCCTTGACGTTCCCTGCAGTTTTTTATCACGTACGAGCAGTTGAAGCGACTTCCATTCTGACGGCTGGCTCCATTCCGTGAGAGTCGTCTCCAAGCCTTGCAGCAGGGAGCCTTGCTGCAGCCTTCCCCTTCATTTCACCGTCCCCGTGTTGTGATGTTCTGGTACCTGTGGCTCTGGGCTCTCCCTCCCCCCAAGCGCATGGTCCCTGGAGCGCGATCTGGCTGAAGGGCGGCTGGCGGCGGGCGCCACGTGTTTTTTCTCACGGAGGCAAGCGCTACCGGCGTACACGTGTCTGGGCCTGCAGCGATATCTTCTGTGAAGATCTGTGCATTCCAGTGGCCTTTTGGTGCAGCTGTGGTTTGTCGTTTGGCTCGGGTGCATTTCTCTGCCGTGCCCGCGGGGCGAGGCGGGGGGCTGGGAAGGGGTGCTGTCGTGTGTCCTTGCAGAACCGTAACCTCATTAAATTATTTATTGACTGGATGGCTTGAGTTTGTGCTTGTGCGGATTTACTGCAGGTGTATCCCAGCGCAGACAGTGTGTCTGCCCTTGGAGAGAACAGAAGCTGTTTTTTCAGCATGCTACATGTATCTTTTTTCCCCAAATAGATATATCTATATATAAAAGCCATCTGTAGGATTCATTACAGTAGAAATGTTTCTAAAACAAGGTTTAATTATTAGCGTCAGAAAATTGTGGTGTTGCACTCTTAGCTCAGTTCTGCAAAACCTGTCTCTTCACCTTAGTGCTTATATTATTTTTGCTTATATCCCTTTTAAAGCAAGGTAATGTGATGTAAAGCTGAACCCGGATGTCCACGCCTTTAAAATGGTGCCTCTAACATTGCTAGTGCTAAGCAGAACATGAAGCAGGGCATTTTGGCCATCCTCTTCTGGTTTTGGTTTGTTTTGTTTTTTTTTTTAAATGTGTCTGGCTACAAAAGCAAACAGCTCATGCCTTCCTGCTCCCTTCCCCTTTCCGGGGTGGCCTTTGGCTGGGGGTGCCTCGCGACGCAGCCGCGTCCTGGCGGGGAGGGCCGTAGGCTGGGATTCTCTGTGCGAATTGCACGAGGGACGTTCAGGCAGATCCAGCCCGGGCACGGGAGGGGGAATTGTTCGCCGTGGTTCTGCAGAGGCGCGGCCGCCTCGTACCGGCTGCCTGCAGAAGGGGGGCGACCCCAACGAGCTCTTGGGCAAACCCTGCCTTGAACGGCGGGGCTGCGGCAGGGCCCCGGCCCGCTCGGCTGGCAGGATCGTTGTCAGAGCCAAACGCTGCTGACCAGCTACCAGAAACGGGGAGCAGTGGCTTCCAAGTGGCCACGGTTCACGTGCCTCGCCTGGCTTTACTCCTGAAGAGGATTTCTAAGTAAATACTTACGTGGGGGCTGAATACGAGCCTACCCGAGAGGTGTGTTTTAACTGCAGTTCGCTACATTCTTTTGGTTTTCTTCAGCGTTTCTGTAACGGTAGTCCCGGGGCCGTTTCTCTGCGCAGCTCCATGGGATGTCGCCATAGAATCATGGCATCGTTACGGCTGGAAAAGACCCTTGAGATCATCGAGCCCAACCGCTAACCCAGCACCGCCAAGCCCACCGCTGTTGCCGCTGCTGTTAATTTTTGGACCGATGCCCTGACCGTTCTCTGGCATCGCGGTTGCTGTCCTGCCCGTGTTCAGCCTGCTACGAGGTGCTGCTCGGCAGCGCGGGAAAAGCGTCCCCGCGGCCACTTTGCAGTTCTCAGCCGCAAGGTGCTGTCGAGGGGCCCTTCTGTCCCCTCTTCTTCCTCCCGCTGGATCAGCTGCCCTGGGCGGCTTTGGAGATGTTCCTTCCGCTTGCCTGGGTGGTCCCCAGCCCCCGGGGACGTCCCTTATCTGAGCTTTGATTGCACTTGGCGGTCATAAATGTTGCCACATGTCACTGCCTCGCTTTGTCAATAGTAACTGCCGGTAAATGGCCGGCGGCGGCCACCGCTGCGGATGTGAGCGCGGCTCGGCGCTGTGCCCGGTGTTCCTGCAGGCGGTCATAAAGCCCTTCCTCCCGACGGCATCTCGCCTTTGCAGCCGACGGGGAGGAAGAGCTGAGTCGCTTTGGGTTTCTCGGCTGGTATAGGATTTTGTGAGGGGTTTTAAAAATCCCAGCCCATAACCGGCACCGGCACCACTTGTGTGAGGGGGCGGCGCTGCTGGAGATCGCCTCAGAACGAAACGCCCTAAACATCTCTGCCTTCTCTGCTCAAGCTTCCTTGTTTCTCTTTCCAACCTTCTCTGTGCCACGCCGAGTAATGTGTGAGCGAGTGGCTGAGCAGCCCGTCTCCCTCGTTACGCCAAGCACGTGCTGACGTGGATCCTGCTACCGCCGGTGCCGGTGGTACCCGAGCTCCTGCAGCCCGCAGTCGGCGGCGGTACCCGATTCGTGCCCCGAAGCCATTGACATCTTGCTGCCTTCAGCGGCTGAAAAATGATTGTGAGCGCTGTGAAGACAGCGTAGGCGTGAGCGTTAGAGTCTGCGGTGTATGGGGTAAACGTGTGCCCCGTCACAGGGGGGCGCTGGAAGGGACCTTCCCGTGCACCCACCGAGAGGTCCACGCGGTTTAACGCCGCCATGGAGGGGCTGCTCGGGGCACCCTGGAAAACAGCCAAAGTCCTACCCAAAAGTGGGAAGTAGAAACATCATAGGATGATGGAATGTCCTGAGCTGGAAGGGACCCACGAGGATCATCGAGTCCAACTCCTGTCCCTGATACGTTAAATATAAAAATGGCAGTAAACCAGGTCAAAACGAAAAGAGGGAGCCCAGGCATCCGCTTACCAAGGTAAAACCCCAGATCTGAGGGCAACTCCTCTTTCGGGTAGAAGGGAGGAGCCTTGCAGGCAGTCCCTGGGGCTGGCGGGCAATCGAGGGACGAAAGGACCGCTCAAAAAAGCAGAGGCTGTGGTAGACCAGCTGAAGGCTGCCTGGCTTTGCCTGGAGGAGCTGGGGGGCGGGGGGGGGGGGGGGAGCGCCAGGGAGCGCGAGCCGGGGGCTGGGCCCGCACCCCCAGATCGGGGGACCTGAGGATGAAAAGGGCAACGCTCGCGCTCGTAGCCTCTCATTTAAAGCTCTCCTCGCGGTAGGGAAGTGTCAAAAGCGTGGACAGGGTTCAAAAGAAGGGTTGTTTTCAGAGAACTACAGCGATGTCTCGGCCACGCTGGTAGGAACTCTAATGAAGACTTGAGACACAAATGACTACGATGTGCTGGAAGGGCCAGTGCTGACGGATGAGGAAGAGGAGGAATCCAGGCTTCAAATCTGCGGGGAGGCTTCTGAAGGAGTCAGCGATGCGTCGGCCAGGAAGGTGGAGTCAATCCAGTCCGTCTGGGTCTCCAAAAGGCTTTTGATTAAGTCCTTTACGAAAGCCATCAAAGCAGCCAGACTGATGCAGGATAGAAGGGGAATGCCTGCTGGGGTCCAACAGAGGCCGGGATTCGATGTATTCGGGGTTGTAACTGGGAAAGCGGGCGGCGCTGAGCTGCAGAGGGGCACGGCGGAGTAGAAATACGAAGCGGCGCAGCGGGAAGGAGGAATCGCTGCCA